ATTGATCGGCACAATCTAATCACTGTATTACCGACTACGCCAACATCAGGTTTATCATGTAAGTTGTAAATATCTTGTTTACCAGAATATATTTCAAAACTCTAAGCAATTATCCAGAGAGTGAACACAAAACAAACAACTTGAAACCCCATTTATGGGGTTTGTTGGGTAAATATTGTTTCATAAAATGAGCAACTTTCGTCGAACACATTTGCTCATCTAGGGAGAGCCTTTGGTCAAATGGTGCTACACCCACGAACAATTTGTTCGTGTGTGTATAGGTCTTATTTTATTCTTGTGTTCGGGAGCTTTTATTATAAATTAAATTCTGTAATGTACTAAGAGACGTTTCTTATTGTTCACTACTGTTGGTTGCCCTCCTTTAAAATAATAATGTAATAATATCTAACTTGAAACAAAATATAAAAAAAATATTATTGAACAGCAACTGCACACACTCAACTCTAAGTCACTAGCTATTCGTTATTTCAATACACGGCGGCGGCTGCCGGCTGCGGTGCAGATACCGCGACCTGCGGTACTACAGTCGTAGGCTGCTGAACAGTAGCCAGTCCTTCGCGTGATTACGGCATGACCTCAAGTCCACGTATATGGTAATCATGGCTAAACATGTTGTTATGGCCACTAACAACATGGTCTGCTTGGAATTGTAGGACTTGATTTGACTTACATTGTGCGCGACGACTACTTCTTCCTTATTAGCTTTCCCATTGTAGAGAATTCGTAACGTATAACGGACGGTAAACGAGTAAAATATTAAGAAAAATATGCAAACCTTATATAAACAGGTACCTACGTCAAATTTGTCAAACTTGCAAATATCATAATACGCGTACAAAGTAAACTTGACACCCGTATGCATTGCGCAAATACGATAATAAGTTAAAGCAAAACAATGTTATAATTTAATACTTATTCTAAGACCATTTTTGTCGAACAAACACAATAAGTATTAAGGATGTATACACACTGGTTATAAATTTATAATATATATTTTAACATCATGTAAAAAAAAAGGTAAATACAATGGTATATAATGTAAAAATAAGATAAATGATTAAAAATAAAATTGACCATATCTCGGCGGTCTTTTAACAATACGTCTACATCGGGTAGTTCTTTGCGCATCCGTACCTGTACCCTCTGTACCCGTGTCAGTATCCGGTGGTACAGTGTTTGTTGAAACTTTCTGCGGTACGGTGTCATTGGATGCATACTGATCCTCTGCACCTTGATCCAGTGATGCAGGATGCAGGATGCAGTTTTACACTGTTCGAAAGCTATGTATGCCTCCTGGGTCCACTCGAGTTTAGTTTTTTCTTTGCATTTAGCACCGTGTAAGTATTTATTCAACACTGATTGATAAGATCCGACTTTTGGAAAATGACTACTAAAAATTAACCATTCCTTAAATTCCTATTTGCGTAAATCGTCGACAGTTTTTGGTTCAGGAAAGTTTTAATTACGGACCCATTCGTTGCGTAAACTTTATACTCGCAACACTCCGATATAGTCTCTTATCAACTGGTATAATTGGAACGTTAGCTCCGGTGTCCACTAAAAATTATAAGCACTGTTTAAGTCGGTTATACATAGGTGGTGGGACGAGACTATAGTGCTAACATCCGCCTTCTACTGCACTTGTCCTAGTTTTCCGGAACATTCCAGACGCACGGCTGTACTCACTTCTTAGCCCGTTCACGAACACGAAAATGGTAGAAGCAAAACCAATCTGGGTGTCTCTGGGAGTTTTCTGGAATGGAGTACGGCTACACGGAGATTCACGACGGTTGTAGCTGCTGTGACTTTGGCCTGTCCATATTATTAAACCTCGTAGTAACTTTGGAAATCTCCTGCAGTAGTTTATCCGTGATACTTGTTGACACTTGAGCTATCCGCAACTGGTCAGGTTTAGTGGTTTCAAAAGATTTATCAGCAATGTTGGCCAATTTTTGTGTCTTCTATGTCAGTGGCGGCAAGGACCGCTCGTGCCGGCGAAGGCAAATGGTCCAGCCATAGTAGCTGTAATGTTTTGTACCTCCATGTGAAGTTCTTACCCCAAAATGCTCTGGCTTATAATAATTGGAAAAATATTTCGCAGCTTTTTTGGAATAAATGATCTTTGACTACCTGTGCCAATTAAAATTTTATTATATAAATTATATAAAATATGGTTCCTTTATTTCATAGAATAATTAAAGTCTATATAATTTTGTCTTTGTCTGCATCCTTTTGAAAATTTTTTTCAGATTTCATTTTTGGATCCCTTTTGTTAAAATTTCTATCATAACGACATTGTTCATATTCATCAGGATATTAATAGTCTTCATATTCACGATGGAATACTTCTTCAGCTACTAAACCTTTTCCTAGATTTGTCTGCCCTGCCTTAATCTAGGTGCAGTTCTCATTGACACGTCAGTATCGACCATTTGTTGATTTTGTGTAGGTCTGTACTTATTGTAATTTTGTTTAAAATATGGGTGCTGAGGTTAACTGGATACATTATTAGTGTTTGGTACCCAAGGATTCTTTTGATGGTGTGGTACATTTGGTCTATTATTATTCATTGATCTTGGTGTTGGTGGATATGTATGTTTCATTTGTGCATTAGAGGTGTAAAGTAAAGTAACAGCCTATACATGTCCTGCTGCTGGGCAAAAGCCTCTTCTATACAGGGTATCAGGGCATAATCCACCATGCGGCCCCACTGCGGATTGGCGGACTTCACATATCTTCGAAATATATATTTTTTTGTTATTATTTCGAAAATATGCAGGTTTACTCACGATGTTTTCCATCACCGCGGAGCACGTAATAAGTCAGCGCTTAAAGTTAAAAATTTTATTGGTGCCGGCACCCGGATCGAATATCACGGCGTGTGAGACTCATTAGAGGTGTGTGGTTGCATATTATATTTATTTTTATTAAAATGGGGATACGAATGATTTATTATAAGAGGTGGTGGTAAGACATTTGAAAATTTAGCCTTGATATTGTCGAACCTACCTTCTGCCTCTAATTGTAACATTTTAAGTTTCTATGAAATTACAATTGGATACATATATCTGGACATGATTCATGAATTCTTTCATTAATTCGTTATCGAATTCGCTTCCGGGATCTGAACTAATTTTCTTGGGAACGCTGTAAAATGAAAAATACTTCATGAGAGCACGTACTACTTCAGCAGTGGATCTATTGGCAATTGGAATAGTTTGGCCTAATTTGCTAAATGCGTCTATAAGCGTTAAAAAGTAATGTCCTTCAATTTGGAAAAGATCAATAAATATTTCCTGGAAAGGAGCGTCTTGCGTTTGGGTAAGCTGTAACATAGGCTTAATCGGTTTACGGTCATATTTCATCTGGCGACAAACGTCACAAGCGTTAATTATAGCAGAAACAGTTTCATGCATATTGTGCCAAAAGTAAGTTCTTTGTATTTTCGCTAACGTTCCTTTAACACCGCGGTGACAAGTCTTTCCTTCGTGATAATTAAGTACTATTTCCTTTTGCTTGCTTTCACTTTCCACATATTCTACTCGCTCTGTACATTCATATAATAACATTGTATTTTTCCTAAATAATTGTATTACTGAACTACTGAATTGCTTGCGATGCTCTTTGTCATAGAAAAATATAAAATACTTAGTTTTGGGGCTTATGTATTCTATCAAAAATCGTTTTACTAAATCAGGGTTACTTGTGGGTAAAAATACTTCTAGAATTTTTTGCTTATCACGCGACTTGTCTCTAACCTGCATCTCGTTTCTTAACCATGAGAATATTAAGAGCTGATTTGGTTTCGTATCTATAGCCTCTTGAAGAATCGGTATACCAGTTGAGTCAATGTCTATGGCAGAAAGAATTGTGTCGCACTTACTTGTCTCGGAAGGTAATCTAATATGTCGTTCAGGTGTTTCCGCGCGGCTTGAGATTGAAATTGTTTCGAAGTCTAAGTCGGGGTTGGTGCTCGCCGTTATGGTAGCACTTGTATCAGAGATTGAGGTTGTCGATGAGTCGTTACGTTCGGTTATATTCTTGGTCGTCAATTTTTTAATATTTTCTACTGTCTCGTCTAAATGTTTCTTTAGTCTTTGTTCCTGATCGTCGACGTTTACTATCATTGAGTGGCCTTCGTCGTCGGAATTTGTGACGTTAACCTTAATACGGGAAAGCGCGTCGGCATTCGTATTTTCTTTTTTGTATATTATCTCATAGTCAATGTCTTGAAGCCGTAAACGCCAACGGGTAAGTTTACTGCTGGTGTCCTTATGGGAATCCAGCCATGCCAAAGGTTTGTGATCGGTATAGATTATAAACTTTCTCCTATATAAATAGGGGCGAAAGTGTTTAATGGCCCAGACAATAGCGAGACATTCTCGTTCTATTGTGCTATACCGAGCCTCAGTGTCGCTAAGGGTACGACTAGCATACGCTACAGGCTTATCTCTACCTATTGGGCTTTGGGATAAAACGGCGCCTAGTGCGACGTTACAGGCGTCAGTCGTCAAAATGAAAGTTTTGTCGTAGTCGGGATATTGCAATAGGGGTGCGTGTGTCAAAAGTTCCTTACATCTATTGAATGCGTCGATATAGTTTTGATCCAAAGTAATTTTATTCCGTTTCTTTAAGCAGGAGGTTAGTGGTTTAGTAACGTGAGCGAAATCTTTTATAAATCGTCGGTAATAGGCAATAAGTCCAAGGAAAGATTTAAATTCTGTGGTGGTTTTGGGTATTGGATAATTAAGGACAGCTGAAATTTTGTCATCATTAGGTCTAATTCCGTTGTTAGTGATATGGCCAAGATAAATAACTTCCTTTCGTAAAAATTCCGACTTATCTAATTGTACCTTTAAATTTGTCTGTCTCAGTCTGTCGAAAACGGTTCGTAGTTTTTGTTCGTAGTTCGTAGTTCGTAGTTAGTTAATACTTCCAATTCGAATTGAACCATACTGTGTTATTAAATAAATTATTTATTGGCGATGTTGGAAACCGCCAAAAGAGTTCCAGTAATTGATCTCCTTTACTTCCTTTGTTATTCCTTTTATTTTTGTAACTTCTTTCATCACCATGTTCTGTAGTTTGTTCAACTGCATCTGCACCGGATCTACATTGGAAGTCGTCAAGAACAACATTTTCGTTTCCGCGTGTTTCCACCAATTTTTCTTGTCTAAGCCGCATATTTTTCCGAATGGATAGGTTTCTAGTTTTATGACAGTGTGACCACATTCTCCCGGCGATTTCAAAATGTACTGCTTCCCGTTAGCCTGTTTCGGAATACACTGCGAGATTGAGCCAGTGCTCGCTTGTACACTCTGCAGCCCGAAGAAGTCTTCTATTAAGTCTGGGGTTCCCACATTCTCCTCGGATTTCTTTGACTCGTTTACATCGACAACTGTTCCCGTTATAGGCGCAGTCGTGCACGACGTGGATGTGGTCGTTTCCGTGATTACACACGAAGAAGATGGACCCTTTGTAGGCACGACCGGAACTTCTTCCTTGTTCACATATTCGTGAAATATTGCGGTTGCTGTATCGCTCATTTTGAATTGCAAACACGTCATGTACAGCTCTGAATCGGAGAGGATGATTTTGAATGCATTCCATGATAAATCTTTGCATCCGTTCTGTCTCAGTTTGTGGACAATTAATTTTTAATATGTTCGTCTAAACTTGTGGAGAATATAATGACGTCATCCAGGTACACCATACAGTGAAGTCCATGCAGACCTCTCAGTACGTTGTCCATGGTTATTTGGAAAGTCGCTGGAGCTGACTTAAGCCCGAACGGCATTCGTAAGAACTCATAATGTCCGTTTTGTGTGCTAAAGGCGGTTTTCTCACGGTCCTGTTCTTCTACTTCAATCTGGTGGTAACCACTAGCTAAGTCAAGTGTCGTAAAGTAGAGGCTCCTTCCTAATTTGTCAAACAAGTCAGTAATGTTGGGAAGTGGATATCGGTCGTCAACAGTAATCTCGTTAAGTCTCCTATAATCTATAACCATTCGCCATTTAACCTCACCGGACGCATCGCTTTTCTTGGGAACCAAGTGAACCGGTGCATTCCAGAGTATGACTCTTGGATAATATTGTCCTTTAGTAATTTCTCTGTCTGTCTATTAATTTCGGCAACTTGTGCAGGGGTCTGTCGGTATGGTCTGACATAAATAGGATCTTCGTTCTTTGTCCGAATTTTATGTTTCACCTGATTAGTGAAGCTAAGTGGTCGCAGTAAAATATATCCTTGTATTCATTGCAAAGATTAATTATTTTACTTCGTTCTTCGTCGTTTGTATGGTCAAGTCTAAGTCTTTTTAAATTATCTTTAAGTGATCTGTCTGTGTCTATTACTGTACTATGGTCACAAAAATTTAAGTTACATTCGGTCGTGTCAAATTTCGTTACTGTAAAAGGTTTAGTTATGGTCACGGATAAAGGTATTTCTAGTGTGTTCTGAATCACAGTTTGTGCGTATCCGTTAACGCAGTTTACTAAGGCGGAAGGCATTCTTAAACCGGGAGTAAATTCTATAAAATCAACTATGGCTTCTCCTGCATGTATGTCCGTGGGAATCCTAACACGCTGTTCACTACGTGGCGGTAAAGTTATAGTGTAATTTAGATTATTAACAATAGGGATGGAAGTAGTTTTAGTTTTTAATGTTAAATGTTTAAGGTCGATAATTGCATCTAATTGTTTAAGCAGGTCGTTACCGATGAGTCCTTCATAGCGTTCATCTACGTCATATAAGTGGAATTTGTGACAGCCAGTAGTGTTAAAAGTAGTAGTAGTAAGTAAGGGGATTACAATAGTTTCGTCGTGTCTACTAGAGGCATGAGTACTAACTACTTGAAATGGTTCGTACCTAATATATTCGGGAAAATATTGGTAAGCGATACGGGGACTCATGAAAGATCTAGTGCTTCCGGTATCAATCATTAACTTAGCATCAATCTCCGGAATATATATATATAAGGTAGTTTGAGATTAGGGTCACAATTTAATTCTATTATTTCTCTATCGTGGGTGAGGCCTCTATGCGAAAATATTCATTGTCCTTTTTAGGAAAGTCATCATTTGTCATTCCGTCCGATTCTTCGTTATAGTGATAGTTCGTCGAATCTTCGTCGTATATTTGGTATTTCATGTTATACTCATTGTCGTCATTGTCATAATAAGTGTCATAATAATACTGTGGGTCGTCATTTCCTAAGGTAAGTTCATTCAACCTAAAGCCCTGTTGAGGTGTTTGAGGTTGTGGCCTTAGGGCAACTGTTCTCATTGAAATGTCAGTTTCTTGGAAACGAGGGTGTTGTATTTGGGGCGGTTTATAACCGAACTGTTGTGATATCATTGTCCGTGGCGGTCTATACCCAAACTGTGGTGGTTATTGTGAAATTGAGGTGGCTTATATCCTATCTGTGGGGGTTTATATCCAAATTGCCGTTGTGTTTCCAGCTGCGGGCGGAACCCAAATTGTGTGTTAGACCCTAACTGAGGACGGTACCCAAACTGTGGAAAGCGGTTTCCAAACTGCTGCGGTTTGAACGCAGGATTTTGCTGTTGTCCGAATTGAAATCTATTTAGTGTTATTCCGAAATTGAATTTTTGTTGAGGCACTAAGTTATTGGGCAGTAAAGGCTTATACCCGAATTGATTTTGTGACGTCATAGGACTGTTTCCGAATTTAAAACCAACCGGGACAATGTTATTTGGTGGCCTAGGTATGGATAAGTTACCGTGGATTTTATTCCGCATATTGTACTGGTCATGGAAGTTCACTTCTTCTATGACTATAGATAAGGATTGTTCTAAAGTCGCGGGTGCCTTTAACCTTACAATGCGTACTAAATGTTCCGGTAAATTATAAAGGAATACATTTAACGCCGTATGATTATATATTGCGATTTTAGCGCGTTTGATATCTGCATCGGCTAATAAATTCACCTTTGAAATAAGCAGTGAGCGGACATTCTGAATTCTATTACAAAAGTCTAAGTAACTTTCACCCGTTTTAATTTTGCACGATTCTAATTCGATACTTATACACTCCTCACTACGAGGGTCACCGAAATGTTGTCCTAACAATTCCTTTAAGGCGGTCCAAGTTGTTATGTCTTCGCGTTCTGATAACGGACAGATAAGGGACAGACGAACAGCGGGACGACCTTGTTTCATACTAAGTAGTGATTACTGTATTTCGAATTTCATTTCGTATGATATTTCGAAGATTAATGAATCGAGCATTTTAAAACTCAAAATACTTTATAGAAAGAAAATCGCAATACATTAGTAAATTTTGACGACAGATCATTTTATAATTTAAATTTTTATCAAGTTGGTTGTCCAGATGGCGCTGTTTTTTGAATTGTTAAATTTAAATAATTATTTTGATGTCACGGATAACAAAAATAAAAATTTTATCATTTGTTCACATACATGTACGGTCAAATGAAATAAACATTATTGAATAAAAATATGTTCACTCTTAATTTGTCTAATACAAATAGGCACAACACGTACTAATATCATTGTTAATCAAATAACTGATAACCATAAATAGTTATAAGTCAATCTACAAGATGGCACTGTTTCATATTTAATAATTTTGGTCGAATAAAAAATACGAAATTTATACAAATTGACTTTACTATGTCCAATACAAATAAGCATTTAGATATAAAATTAAAAAAAATTAATTATTTTGGACTATATTTTTAAATGATTTGTAATTTTTTTTTGTTTTAAATGAAAGCATGGAGTTTCGCGCCAATATTTTTAATTTAACCATTAAAAGTTTTTGCGGAAAGTATTAAATAAATTAGCGTTCTTAACGCGATGCAATTTTACACCGACCCTCGGGCTCCGAGCCTGTTGGGTTGGTGGCGGCACGTGTGGTTATAAATCGCGCGCATTAACAAAAATTAAAAAAATCTGCAAAGAAATCATGAACTTTTTCTTTATTATGCGGAACCAAACAAATACCATTAACTTGATATTAGACGAATACCTTATTAAATGTCAATTAAAATTTTAGTCCATAATAACATCATAAACTTAATTTTCGGTACCTATTAAATTCATTGCGTTAATACTTATTCAGTGTACAAAGTATTCTGAAAAGAGTAAAAAAAGTTATTTCATGGATCCATAAGCATAACTATCAGTTTACAGTTATGATTCTTCGAACTAATTACACGTGTTTTGAATGACCTTCTATTCAAATCCATCAGTCCACGTGGATGGTCGGCGTCAAACAGTTAACAAAGACCGCCTTTGTATTTACCGCACTCGCTAGAACTAGCGTTACCAGATGTGCCGATCCGCGTGGAATATCCCGATATTCTGATGTTCGGTCATCCCGAATTTTTATAGATCTTAGTCTGTACTTTGTGCTACAATTTGGATAGGAAAAATAAATAAAATTGTAAGCTGCCATCACATGAAAATAATTTTGCTCTGAAATTTTCACATTTTCTCATGAAGTTATAGTCTACATAATAGTTAAAATAACTTAAGCTTAAAATAATACTTGTAAATGAGCCAAAAGCTCTAAATAGCGATTAGGATTATTTTGTGGTATTTTATAGGAGGTCAACTAGATTCTTAATGTTTTGTTAGTCAATGGTAAAATACCATTAAAAGAATACCTGACCTTCCAGCAACAGTTTAATGTTGATTTACAAAAAGTTTGTGATATAGCTATGCTGATTTGAAAATTAAATACCTAGCCAATTATTTTCTCCCGTCCTATAATATTACTCAGTAGACATGGTAACATTATTATGCGAACGGCGAAATAGTCCCCAACAAACGTTTCTTATGTACTTACCGACATAAGCGGCCGAATGCCGCTTAATTCAATCAATACATAAAATATGCCGTCGTTTCGTTTGTGTTACCGTAAAACGGGGTTAATAGAAACAATGTGGACATTCGAATCCAAATTAACTATATAAAAACAATGTTTATGGTATTTAATCTGTTTTTATCTTGGGAGTCTTATGATAAATTATGACCTTATTTGTTTAAAAATGGTAAATTATTTGAATCTTGTGAAAAAAACTCCAAAAACAGGCTAATTTCCATTTGCCCGGAATATGGGGTTAATAGATACGGCATATGGGGTTAATAGAAAAAGATTACAGGGTTGTCAAAGTACTATAATCTAATACTATGACGGTATCTTATTTAAAATCCTAATAATATAGTAGAGGAGAAACATAATTGAAAAACTCTATTACGTATATATAAAATTGTACAATAAAGAGAGTGAAGAGAAATGAAGTTGTAAGAAAAACTTTATTGAAATGCTAAAAGAAAAAAACATCAACAAACAAACTGAGCATAATGTTATCATTTATACAGTAAATTAATAAACAATTACGAAGCAAACACACATATATTAATCAAATCGGACCATTACCTATTAATTTTAGATATAAATGAACATCTTTAGACATATATCTTTAGAAATTAAGCCTCTAAAAAGTTAATCATTAATCATCTAATTATCATTCAATATCAGACATTAAAACGGACAG